GTATTAGGAGCAGTATTGTACACGAATTAGAATGCTCTTTAAACATAATACGTATACAAAATGTTGCATATGTACTGATTGGACATTTTTTTGCCACTTGCGGATTCGCAACACTCCATCTGTTGGTGGCATCAACAAGCTCACCATCGAAATACGACTCACTTGATTGCGATAAATTTGGTGACAATACAAAACAACCAAGAACAACTGTAGTAACATCTGTTGCAAAAATAATAATGTTAAAGAAAAATGCAAAAAATTCAACAAAATTTCATGTTATAAAATATGCTTCAAATAACGCGTGTTACTAAAATAAAGGTCTTCGAGTAGTCTGTAATCCCTTAAAAATTTTCACATTATAAAAACACGGGCATGATGTTCAAACAAGAGGCTTCGTTCGCGATTGAAATTTTGGCAAAATAGTCGCGCACGTTCACATTTGTGCAATATTAGCCTGATACACAGCTTGTCATCATAAAATTTTTGAACCATTGTAAAGCCGAGGCAAAAAAAGTTGTACATTCATTTATATAGAAAAAAAAAAGTTGAAAGCAAGAAGTAGAGGGACGGCAGAGTGAGCCAATTTACAATATAGTTCCTCGCTTCGCGCGATCATTATACCAGTCGAGCCATTTTCTTTTGTTTACTAACACACGCAGCTTCTCCATATAATTTTGACTCTGTCCAAGACAAATTCGGGTATGGACCTCTTGGCTTCACGAGTTTCCACAAAACTAAGCTAACGTTATGTTACAAAAATAAAATACATTTTAAATGATCTTAAACTTGATTGTTTTCAAATTTTAGACCAATTTTTACCTCTTAAAATGCGATAAAATCACGTTAAACTTACACCACCAGATGGCAAGAATCTCAATATCTGTAAACCTGCAAGTGGCAAAGTAAAAATATTTACTTATAAGTCGAAGCAAGATACACTGTATGGTATTGTCTCATAGTTTACATGTATAGGGTAAATCCTTCAAGTTGATTTACAATATGTCTCAAAAAATGTCGAAAAAATTGTTTACTTTTAGTTACCATATGACCAACTCTAATGGCCTTTTTATGTCCAAGAAACTTTTTAGTTGGCCAAAAGCTAGCCGTAAAATGTTGAGCAGCAGATAATATAACTTCGAGCCTCTACCACTAGATGGCGAGTATCTTAATATCCCTAAATCTGCAAGTTGCAAAGTTAAGTTAAATGTATAAGTCGATTCACGTTTTTTTTTTGCTCTAGTATTCCATATTTGGTTTTAATTGAAAAACGAGCCACAAAAAGTCGAGAATTTCCAGCGAGATGCGAACCAAAAACAAATAAGGGAACACACCATCGAGTAAATTAAATGTGTCTTCGATACACACATTTTTATACGCTGGTTGTACACGAGGCGTATAATAAAGGAAGACATCGATAGGCCATTCGCAGCTCGGTGACTTTTTATACATACATATCCGTTGGCAGCTATCGCCGGAGCCAAAACAGGACAGCCCAACGAGAGAAATCCAGTCAACTTCTCCTTATCTTATCTCTCAGTTGTCGTATATACGTATATTTTCTCTCTCTCTCTCTCCCTCACTCTCCTGGGTACCATATCGACGTGCTAAACCACGTATACGAGGTGCTATCCTACGTATATAGCTCTCGAGGAGGGGGTTAAAGCTCTCTCTCTCTCTCTCTCTCTCTATTCTGTATACCATAGCGGAGCTTTAAGGCAAGAAAAACTCAGCGCGAGGTGACAGGTCAAACGAATTTATAGGCCTCTTACAAGCCCCGGGACTCGAGGAGAGAAGTCGTGAGAGCTCTAGATACGTCGAGGCTATATTACGTGTGCGTTTGTGTGTGTGTTTGTGTATACGCGTTGAGCTTCGCGCGCGCCGAGTTTGTGTACGGCTATACAAGGGATTGGTCTTTATATACGTATACCACCACCGTCGTATACGATACACCACGCGCAAAAGTCAAGACACAGAGAGAGAGAGAGAGAGAGAAATAGAGGGTGGGGTCGGAGGATCATTCTGTTCTGCCGCAGAAAAGAAAGCAAAGAAAATCGTAAAAAACTTTATGTAACCCTCTTTTCGCTGTGTATATCTGTAGCGGATCAGCGCGAAGATTGTCTCTCTCTCTCTTTCGGCGTGTGTTTGTTAGACTCGACGACTACGACTCAAGACGACAACGACGCGACGTGAACTGCTGTGTGCTACGGAATGGGGGATCGTCTGTAGGTAGGTAGCTGTTATATATGTATATACAGCTGTGGGGGAAAATGGAAGGATTTGCGAGGCATATTCCTCCCGATTCGTTCTAATTTAAGTTCCGAAGCTCCGAGGACGGAGGTAGGGAGTTGCTGCTGATGCTCACGTTGAAGGCAAACAGCTTGTCCAACACCGCCTCTCACAGTCGTCGTCGCTGTCGTCGTTATATACATACATTCGATCCTGCACCGAGAAGATCGAGCTTTTTTTTCTTCTTTTTTTTTTTCATCATTCGCCGCTCGAGGGCTGTTCCCTATACCGGTAAAATTGCTGCTGCAGGAGGAGGAGGATGAGGACGAGGAGGAGGGCTAGGGATCGTATTTTCCTACGCGTTGCTGCTGCTGCTGCCCGCGCGCGCCAAGCAGATTTGATTTATTAAACTACTCTTGTATAACGCGCTGTTTGCTGCTACTGCTGCTTCTTGAATGATGAAGATTTACGCGCTGTAAAAGTTGCGTCATGTATAGCTATATACGTACAAGGGATGAAATATCAGCAAACTCGGCGGCAACAACAACGATGTTATAGCGCCCGGAAGAACAGACGCACAACGACGAATAAGATGCTGATGATTCTTCGATTGAATTTTACTTTTTTTTTTTCACTCTTCAGATAATTCTAAACGCCGCCGCTGGCAGCATCCCTTTTCATTAACTTTCTCAAGTACGGCTGATCGAGCTTTAATAATGTAAATATATAAAATAGCCGAGATCGCTCGTACAGTCGTTTACTCGAGTTACCAAAAACGCGGCGCGGCGCGCAAATCGATATACATTTTCTTATAATAAATGGGAAAGCAGTGGGGGTCTGCCTCCAAAAAACTTCTGGCTACTTACCTCGCACGCGCGCCACGGCGCGTCTGTTACATGAAAAACGGACAGCTATAGTACAGTATATACACAATCGAGGTAAAAAGCCCGCAGCAGCAGCGGCGGCGCGTGGATACAGAAATAAAGAAGAAAACAGACCTGACTGCCCAGCGGTGTATATATATAATACATTGTGAGTCTTTATAGCTATAGACACATCGAGAGAGAGAAGAAGCGCGCACTGATTGCGAACTAGCCGCATCAAAGGTCATTCTCGACTCGGTGGTTGGTTGCTTGTGTACACTATACGCTGCCCGCTTGTGTCTAGATGTGTGTTTGTGTGCGCCTGTGTCTAGATGATCGAGCGTTAATGGATAGCCCATTGAAACGTGCACTAGCCATCCGTGTATAGATATATAGAAAGGGTGGGTTTGACTGAGCTATATAGCTCTCGAGTCTCGACACCAGCAGCAGTAGTGGATGCCTACTGTCCAAGCGAGTCGCTATTCTGTTGATTGAAAATTTTGCGGCTGTATAGACCCGCTGCTGCTGTTGTTGCTGCTGCTGATGCTCGTGGCTTTTTGCGAATTAAACGCCCGCAAGAATAGGACTCGCTTATACCCCCTACTGGTCCGTAATGGCAATACACCCAAAAGTATGACCAGTACTTAACATCTTGATGATTTTCTGTTTTTTTTTTCATCTTAGTCTTCTTTGCGCTCGTCCGTTTGTATACATTACGTATACAGTATACACTCGGACCCTTTATATAAATTTTCGTATATAACTTTGAGCTCTCAGAGAAAGAGAGGGAGAGAGAGTAAGAGAAGTTAAGCGAAGCGCTTGGAATGAATTAAAGGCTAAGTAAGTATATATAATACGACGTAAACTTCGTTTCTACATTTAAGATTCTGCTGCCACTACCTTGCGCGAGAGGCGGCTCCCTGGAATAAGAGGGGGTCCTCTACCTTCTTCCCTTGAGCGAGTTCGTTGCAGCAGCAGCAGCAGCTAGCTCGAGCTACTATCTGCTAATTCGCTCCGGTGTATATAGCGCGCCGCACATCCCTTATCTCTCTCGCTCCTCGACTTTTCAAAGCCAAAAACCCGCATCACGGAACGTTACGTCAATGAGCTAGCTCTATGCTGTATATATATATACTCGAGTTTAACAGTTTTAGCATTATACACGTTATACACTATAAAACGCAGTTTGAATTCCGGCGCGGAGGCGGTGGGAGGGAGGGCTAGGGTAATAGATGGATAGACATAATTCTCGCGAGGAAAAGAGAGGAGAAGTGGCAATTTAATAAGATGCGCGCGTGAGCTTGCAAGCAGTTGATGAGATTTTACGCTAATGATCTTTCGGGTAATAATTATATCGTGAGTGGAGAATTTTATAAAAATGAAATCATTTTTCAGGGAGCATGAACCATGATTCTGTTCTCGATGAATTTCGAAAGTCGCACTCGATACGTCGCACCTCATTTTCCCTAATTCAGCGACCAATAAATGATATGACTAAAATTCCTATAAGACTAAAATGATAAAAAAATTTAATTAATAAAATTATCAACGTGACTGCCATAATTATTTTACTACTCTGTTTAACTTCAATAACTTTAATAACATTTATTCGCATTTAATAGCACGCACTGTATTAGTTTGGGTTCTGAGATACTTTTTTATATTCGTAAATTTTTCACCGCATAAATCGAATATGAATATGAGTTCGCATGTTTGAGTCGGCAAATTTTGCGCCTGGATGAATGACGTTTTCATTACAATTTCTGTGTAGCTTAAACGAATGCCTTTGTATATCACAGTACATTGAGAAAACAGTAATTTGAAGGTAGAGGGGGAACGATTGGCCCAGAAGCTATCGCAAGCAAACCTGAGGTCTTCTCGCAAATAAGCATGAGTAGTGCGTTCAGTCGCTATCGAGGAGCGAAATTCCTGCTGCAGTGAGTAAAGCAAGTGTTTATGAATTTGTGAAATCAAGGTTAAGTGTTGGCTGCTCGAGGCGATTAACCTCAAAAATTTTCTCAGTGTACATCGTAAAAATTCACAGTGATTTTACATAAAATCAAGCGAGTAATGGAAAGTAGTGAGGACATAGTCAGGTAAAACATTTTTTTTTGCTTGCTATATTTTTTTAAGCGATCACTTAATCAAATTTGAAAATTCTTCAGGGTAAAGGAGGAACCTAACGATACTTGGACAGATGCAGAACACGGTTATAGTATCGGTTCGCTGAACGTTTACGAAGCCAAAAACTTTCAAACATTTACGTTACATAAGCCATCGGTGAGTTGGCGATTTGAATTACGTTCTAATTTATTCGAGTATCAAAGTCTGTAGCAAACTTTTCATTTCAGGCAACTCACATGCACGAGGTTATGGCGTTACAGAAAAATTTAGATGAAAAAATATTCATTGTTGTAGAGTGCAAAGATTTTAAACCCGAACTACCGTTTCCATCGACAAACATCTGTAAAACTGAGGATCAAAGTTATCCATCTGAAGTGAAAGTTAAAAAGGAAATTGAGAACAATCTTCCGAATGATAAAGAAGTGATAATTTTAATAAAGAAAGGATTCGATTATGAAAATAATTGTCAGTTTCTAGAAAAATCTCCATGGGAGATTGACAAATATGCCATTTGCCAGCCGTCGTGCACATACAAAAGTAAGCTCAAAAATCACATTAATGCAAAACATGATCAACATAAACTCTTTGGGTGTGACATTTGTCAAAAATCATTTGGACGAAAAGGCAACCTCAATGTTCACATAAATTCTGTACATATTCGTAGCAAACTCTTCGAATGTGATATTTGTCGCAAATCATTTAGACAAAAAGGTACCCTAAAATCTCACGTAAATGCAGTACATAACTGTAACAAACCCTTTGAGTGTGGAATTTGTTATAAATCATTTGGTCGAAAACATTCTCTTAAAACTCACATAAATACAGTACACAATCATAGTAAACCCTTTGAGTGTGATATTTGTCACAAATCATTTGAACTATTTTTTCACCTCAAAAGACACATTAATACAGTACATAATCATATCAAACCCTTTAAATGTGACATTTGTCACAAATCATTTGGACAAAAATGTACTCTCAAACGTCACACAAAGTCAGTACATGATCGTCGTAAGCCCTTTGAATGTGAGATTTGTCACACATCTTTTGGACGAAATGATAACCTTAAAGGACACATGATTTCAGTACATAACCAGAGCAAACTTTTTGAATGCTAGATTTGTCGCAAATAATTTTGATACAAATCTCTACTTAAACATCACAAAATTACAGTTCATGATCAAAGGAAACCCTTCGAATGTTAGATTTGTCACAAATCATTTATATACCAGAATATACTCAAAAGGCATATTATGACAAAACATGATCTTCAAAAAAAACAATAAAATATTTCAAACTGTACTAGTTTATTCGATTCGTTATTCATGGTGTTAATATTAAACCTATCCTTCAAGATTTTAATCGTCGGTACTCACTTGCCATGCATGTAAAAATCTGGGCCTCACAGCAATAATTATTCATCAACATGTTTCCACAACTGATTTTCATAAACATAACAAATGTAATCGTCGATAAAAAATGATAGAGAGTTAAATTATTTTGTAATTATCATTTAACTGCCTTAGGGGTTTGTAGACACATTCAAATCGAAAAGTAGTATCTTTTTTTTTAATTTATGCTTTTATAGAATGATTCGATAATGATTAAATAATTTGAAATGTCTTACTTCAGGTATCGTGTGCTTATGAATAAAAAAAATCTCTAATCACGTTTCAAATTTATTTCTTTTGGTGCCGAAAATATACAAGATTTTTGTTATATAATGTGATATATATAACATGATAAAAATATACAAAATTATATGTATGTGTGTGAGCAGTTTCGTTGCCTTTTTGAGTCGATAGCTATGGGGTCAAGTCGTAGAGCGACAGTCTCTTGCGGACTCGTCGTTGTCTCGTTCCTTTCTCTGGCAATCTGCTGACATCTCGAACGAAAATCGTTTTTCGAAAAAAATGTCACAATTCTTAAGCAGTTGCTACGGTCCATCTCTCTAATTGTTCTCTTTTGTTTCCATCTAATTCAAAATTTCGTCCACGAAAATAAGCATGGCCTTCTCCATGGAGTCCAGGACAATAGTCTCGATTTCATCGGGCAGGAAAATGTCGTGGAGGTTAATTCGGCCCTTCCATCCTTTCAGTAAAGTATCAATTTGATCGATAAGAACGTATCGCTCTTCTTTTACCTCCCAATTGACTTGTTCTCGTAATTTTATTAGCTCCAATTTTTGTGAAAAATCTCCACGATATTCATCGAATATTTCGTCGCCTTCGGCAAAGTAAGTTTGGCAATAAGCTGCAGAAATAGCTTCATAATAATCGGACATTTTCCCACGCACTTGTATACACAACTCTAAATGTGTAAAAGATATTTTTCAGTTTTTTTTCAGATTTTTCACGGAAATCACTTGCCCCTGTCAATACGATCTTTCTCGTGTTAATTTCTTCTTTTAATTATTTTCGCCCTTTAACTGCTCACACTGCGGCGTCGTAACGCGTGCCGACTGTACACATGCAACACGGCGTGTAAAAATGAAAAACGTGGGCGAGGCGCTGCGAGAGATGCGAGAAATTTTGGACCGTTTTGCTTCCACGACGTCACCGCGTTACGCTGACTACTGCGATTGACTACTCTTACGCCTCTCGTGTTTGGATCGACGTGTTGTCAACAAAGATCGGTAACGATCCCAAAACGTGCGCGCGATTTTTCGTATGGTGGGAAAATTTTCTAACTGTGAGAGAATAATTTTGAATTTACTTATTCAAATTATATATAAAATGAGCAACAGTAAATAACGTTGGAAATGGCAAAACACTGTAAACATTTTTATCGTCACGAGCTCGAAAATAATATACAGAGGAGTCAATCACCCCTGATTGGTAAAATTTGGATCAGCATGTAATAAAAAAAATATGCACCGGGTCCGTAATTGTGACACTTGTAAGTTATTAGTTTTGAATGCAGTGTTACATTTATACCTTAAAAATCAGAATCAGCGTGTTTGGAACATAGATCAAAACACTCAGAAACAAGGAACAATCTGTATAAGAGACGAGGCTGATTTAAGAGAGATTACACACATTTTTTTTTTGTCGATTCTGCCACTAGGAAAATTTTAATCGTCAACACCTTTACTGCGGTGACACGCTTTAGGACTGTTGTCACTTTTCAAGAAAAGGATCATACTTGATGCGCATATTTCGTTTTTTGAACGTGACAAAATTATATTCAAACACACATCGTTATTCAGTAAATAACTCCAGGGAGGATATATCATCGAACAGGCGCACTTCGATAAAGAACAAGAAAAAAAAGAGGGAAAAATAAATGAAGTAGCAAAGTACACCCATAAGATCGTTGATATACAGGTGTAGTGTTATTTCGAAGAAAATAAACAAGCGTCGCGCGTATAGGTATATATACTATATACAATAGCTCACAAACAACGACAAAATTAATTGGCTGGAAAAGCGCGTATATATATATGTGTATAGGCAAAACGAGTGTCGTATTTATCCAGCAGCCTTATTATTGCCCCCTCTCTCTCTCTCGTTCTATATCTTTCTCGCTCTCGCACTCTTACACGCGCGAGTGCGCATTTAATACGACTCCCGAGTGGCTTCCTACGCTATTTACCAGCACCACTACTACTGCTCCCTATCAGCGACGGTAAACTGCATATACATACGTACGTACATCCACGCACACACATACACATAGGGAAGGTACAGCGCGACTGTTAATCGATGATAAATGCCCGAGTCTCGCAGTAGTATATAAGTAGATGCAGTGCGCCGTGCATGTGCAGCTATATACAGCCGCGCTGCAGGCAACACAGAGCGAGAACGAGAGAGAGAGAGAGAGAGAGAGAAACCAAGTGCGTATTGCACTTCATTAAGGATAAGGTACAAATACAAACAGGCGGTGCGTATATATATACGTATGTTTATAGCGGGGGGATGCTCGAGTGCGCTACGTGTACAGTATATACGTAAGGGGGAGACTTTGTGTGTCGTGATTTTCATATACTCGACCGCGCGCAGCAGCAGTAGTGCCAGAGCTATAAAGCTACTGCTGCTGCTGCTGCTGAGTGCTTACCGCTGAAATGAGAAGCAGCTCGGCGCGCGCGCCCATTGTAATAAAGCGATGTGTGATAACGCGCGGCGGCGGTGGCTCGCTCATTCGTAGCTGGCGTTCATGCGGACGGATAAAAGATGGAGAATCGATGCACTCCGTTTTCTATTTCTTTTTTAACTCCGTACGGTTTTGTTTCGTTTTCTCTTCTCGACTGTGTTATATATAATGGTCAAGAGTATATGCGCGTATACGTTGAGTAGGTGTAATCGATAAAACTATATCGATGATTATGAAACTTTTTACAATAACTTTTAGAAGAATTACTATGCAAGTATCGAATGATACTATGTTCACTACGAAATGTTACTGTAATCATTAGCCAACAAAACTCGGTGACTTCGTTTAGGTCAATGAAGCACCGATAGATGGCGAAGCGTGGATTTTCGGCAGAACTCGCTAGTGGCCTATCTTTGAAATTACTATAATATATGAGAATTTTATCTGGATTTAACCAGGGTGTCGTTAAACTGCTACGAATTAATATTTTTGAGCGTGGGTTAGTAGCTACAGGACACACGTATAAATGGCTCTTACACTAAAAATCAAGAGAGAATCGTCAGAAAATGAGCCGCGGCGCGTTATACGTATACACTACGCCCGAGAACTGCCAATTTTCATTAATCGAGCTAAAGTAATAATCAGCATCTCTATCTCTCGTTGCTTCAGCTGATACAATACCAATAATAATATATATATAGCTTCTCTATCTCTGCTACTGCTGCTGCTGCTGCTGTTCGCCCGCAGTCGGCGCGCGGAAACTGCAGCACAAATCCCTTCGAAAACAATTCATGGAAAATTATCGCTCGCTCGAAAGCTCGTCGGATATACGCGCAAATTGGAATAATCATGCAGCGGCAGCGCAACACACGCGTAATGTATCAAACAATTAACAAAAGCAATCACTCATCGTTCACGGGTCGGCAGCAGCGGCAGCATAATATAATCAATCAATTCAGAAAGCGTCGTATATGTAATGTACCGATGTCTATCTCTCTGCCGTACACTTATATATGCGCTCTCGCTCGCTCGCATTTTATGTATTATATTATTGTACGCCCTATCTCCAATTTAACATTCGCTGCCTGCCTGGTGCCTATGGCTTTTATAATATACCTCGAGGCGCGCAGTGTATCATACACAATACATCAGTGCTCTCGATTTCAAGAGTCGAGCCAAGCTGAGCAAGAGAGCCGAGAGAGAATAATAGCCGGTCGCGTGGCTCTCTGTAACTCTAATTAAAAGCGTTAACGACAACGACAACAACAACGAAAAAACTTTCGGACCGAGTTGCTGGAAAAAAAAAGTTGCCCAGATTTTTGTGTAACGCATACAGACACGCGACGATCTGAAAATTTTCTTAACGACGTAATAGTCCGTGCGCTGCGTAGGCTCGAATCGTTATTATTCGCTCGAATAAATACACACATACACACAAACACGTGTGTGTACGCGGGGTGCTCGTATATAATCACGATTAATACGAAAGAGAGAGAGAGAGAGAGAAAGCAAGAGCAGCGAGAGAGGATTACCATCGCGTGCAAAGAGAGAGAGAGAGAAGCGCAGGGGTGTTGAGTAGGAATGATGTTGCATTATAAGTCTATTATTGTATAATAGGCCTAGTACTGCCAATGCTGCATTTTGACTCTCGTCGACGCGCTCGCGTAGGTATATAAAAGATAATCGGCCGTAATTTCATATCAATTTTCCGATCGACGAGTCGCATCTCGTGCATAGCTGCTGCTCGGTCGAGTGCGAATCGTCATCGTCATTTCGGGAACAAAACCTCGGATGTCACAGCCTCGACAATCGTACCCGTATACATATATCCTTTAAGCGTTTTACACAGCTCATTTCACGGCTAATCGCCTCGAGATGCGACAAAGAGGAAGATGTCTTTATTAAAAATGCGACGCGTCTCGAACGATCGTTTCTTCGTCGTTATTCGAGTTGTCGCTTATAGCTGGCTAAACAGGAAAGATATTTAAAGTAGCGGCGCATTATCGTACGGTCATTTAAGGATTTTTGTATGTTATAATAGGCCGCGCGGAACGTGTTTCGGCACGACGACGATCGTCGACTAAACTTTTCGACTCATCTTCGCCATATTATGTCTATATAATCCTTGCCTTACACGCACACACACACAAACATCCAGGGAGAGAAAGATCAGAGAGCGGCTTACATAATCCATCGGCCCGGCGCGAGCGTCTTTGAGGAAAATGTTGCGTTGTGTGTATCATAATACATAAAAACCTCGTCTCTCTCTCTCTCTCTCTCTCTCTCTATATTATGCTCGCGGCGCTTCATAAAGTATAGTAGGTAGCGTGCTCGAAAAAGCGAGAGAAATAATACTCTCTGTACGAAGCGATCGCACGCCCTGCAGGGGGTGGCACGTTGCTGCGGCACTGGCGGCGGCGGCGGCGGGGAGCTGCACTTCCGATTGCCGCTGCCCGCCCGGGGCACTATTAGCGTCTAATTAAGTGGATTAGTCGCAGAGGCTAAAGCTGCTTATATACACGCGTAAATATTTTGCACGCCGAGAGATCGTCGAGAAGCTGCGTATTCCCAAGGACGTGAGGATGTGTGTGGGTGTGTGTGTTATAATATGCGTAACGCATATAGTTCCTTGTGTATGTATTGTAATGAAAGAAAAGGAATGAGCCGCGTGGATGCCTGGAAGATTTTTGAAGCGGATCTTCGTTGGGATTGTTAAGTGACGAGGTGGAATGTGTCAACGTTCGTGTATCGTTTTGGTTAATATATCGGAGAAGTAAGAGGGACAGGAGACTAGTCTATAGTCGAGTAAATATTTGTCTCAGAGTAACAATTCAGGTTTATTATTAGAATGATATTAAAAAAAATTGTTCAAAACTTATAAGTCTTCAGTCCTTTAAGAACGATATCGATGGATTTGTTGATATTTTTATTTTCTTTGTTGAATTTACTTGTCGTGATACTTTGCAGTTGAAGCTGCCTGTAGTCACTGCTTCGATATTAATTTTTGGCTTGATTTTCCAATTTAATATAATTACTTTATTCATGGCTGGTACCACTTCAAACTGTATCGATACGTGACGTTTGAAATTACTAATTTGTCATCGTGTCCCTATGCATATTCATGCGAAATTAACATTATTATATGCATCGTATCTACATATGCATTTTAAGATTTTTCAGTCTTTTTAGTTACTGCGATGCGAAGATTTGACGTGCATATTCAGATTACCCTTATGCAAAAATTTCTTGCCACATATATTACACGAATGATTGATACCATTGTGAAATCCTTCAATGTGGACTTTGAGGTTATCCTTTCGTGTGAATTTCTTTCCGCATATATTACATGTATGCTTGACACCATTATGCATTATATCGACGTGGTCTTTAAGTTTATTCTTCGTTGAGAATTTTTTTGCGCATACATCGCAAGAATGTCTAATACCACGATGCTTCGAATTTATGTGGATCTTGAGATAGCTTTTTTGTGAGAACGTCTTTTGGCAAATATCACAGGCATGTGTGGTACCATGATGAATTACATTGACGTGATTTTTAAGATAACGCTTTGTTGAGAAATTCTTTTCGCAAATATCACATTTATGAGTTATTTTGTTGTGCACTGAATCGATGTGTATTTTGAGATCATACTTATATGGGAACGTCTTTCCACATACATCACATTTATGAGTTATTTTGTTGTGCACTGAATCGATGTGTTTTTTGAGATTGCCTTGATTAGCAAATGACTTTCCGCATATATCACATCTGTGGGTGATACCATCATGGACTGATTCGATGTGACGTTTAAGACTTGGCTTATGTTTAAATGTCTTTTTACATTTATGACAAGGAAAAGTAACACCTTTAGGCCTCGTATCAATGCTTTTTCTTAATTTCTTTTGCCGACCTAAATCGCACTTGTCATTTTTTACCAAGTTATCTTCAATTAATTCTTTTTTCACTTCTACCACGCCTTCTTTTTTTATATCTTTTCCTTCTGCCCAATCACTGTCCATAACTTGCAAATAATTTGGAGAACCATCTTCAATTTTCAGCAAAGAATTCAACTTGGGCTTCTCGTCCTGACATTCAATTTCAATTCTCACATCATCCAATTCCATTTCATGAGTTTCGTCATATTTTTGAAGCCCGTAGGTCTATCAAAAGATTGAAGTAATGTGAAAAATAGCATGATAGCTATTGTATAAAATTATTAATTCTTACCCAATTCTCTTGCACAAATCTAGAGGTCCGAAAGTTTTGGATGGTGGATGTCTTTTCCGTTATTCCGTGCTCATCATTTTCTTCAAATGACTCGTCCAAGGACTCCTTTTTGATTCTGGAATATATCCAATAAAAATCAATTTTCATGTTAAAATATTTTTATGCGTTCATTAGTTCAAAAATTACCTCACGGGACCGTTAAATAAACCGAAAGATTCCATGTTATTCTCATAGAACTCAGTTGGATACTAATAATTTTTCTGTGCTGATTTGAAATTCCACACGAACTCAAATAAAGTTCAATAATATTTACCAATCATGATTTGAAAATGTATAATAGTCAATATAGGAACAGAACAAAACTAAGTTATTATATTATCGAAAGAATCGTCCGCACAATGATCAATAAACATATCATACAATTAATTGTATCATTTTTATTCCCTCAAAGTGTTTAAAAAATGGCTGGTATTTTGGTACTATTGAAATAAATTTTTATCTTAGTTATGGTAACTTTCGTTTGAGAGTATTTTACTATCGGAGTGTTTGGTTTTTCATGTCAAAGTTTTTTGGTGTATGCTATACTATACTTCGTTTAAAAAGAAGTAAATTGTTTTGTGTAAATTAGCCGTGTTAATGGTTGAATACACCTATTAGATGTAAACATAGCTGGATACATTTATCGAAACATTTTGCTTCGTGGGTATTTTAAATTGCACATATTTTTAACATAAATCTTCCCGCATTTACCTGAATAAATGGTTCTTTTTAAATTATTCTGTCATTCTCAATGATTATTTCTTATCGTAAATTTTTTTTAAAACAACTGTACAATTAAAGAAGTTTTAATATTACTCTCCGCACGATTAATAAAATATTACGATCTTCAAAAAATACTTCTTCTCGCTTTCATTTTTATAATGCGCATTCGCTCGGAATGATAATAGCGCATTACATGATCTCTTATATTTGTGAGGTGCACCGTGCGCTGATTTTGGTGCGGCACTTAGCACAAGTGATGCACCCGTGTCTTCTGCAGCCAAGTCCGAGTGTGCTGGGGGTGGTTTTTGTTTTCATCGTCGCAGCCATTGTGCGTACCAGCGAACAATTTCAAAACGTCGCGATGCGAATCCTAAAATTACGATTAACAGTGACTGCACTAACGAGTATGTTTTTGCTGCGGTTCATTTGGATAAGGTTATTTTTTCGATTAATTTTTTTAACAACAAGAAAAAAGAGCTTAAGTAAAGAATGATGTCAATTTACAAGAAATGGACAAATCGATGAAAATTATTGCACTCGAAGTGTTGCGAGCCACTGTCGAGCTGATAAACTAATTGCATTTGTTTGAAGCGTACGATGTTATTTTTCCGTTGCTGACCTTTAAATAAATTGACCAAATATTTAACAGTTTATGATTTTTTTTTCACATTTGATGTGATGTTGGTTTTGCGAATTGTAAATTGAGTGTAGCTGTATCGAGTTTTTAATGATTCTAATTTTTTCATGCATATAAACTGATTAATTTCAATTAGAGAGATTTATAATATTATTAGCATATTACTTTGATAGAATATTTGAAATAAATTAAACTTTTAATTTCTTTGACATTTTTTAGCTTCTCTTTATTAAAAGCTATTTCATTAAGTTTAGTTTCAAATTTTTCATATTTCAATACAGTTTAGAAATGTAATTACTACTTGATTAAATATAACTTAAAATTTGCATCAAATTAACATGTATAGTATTTGAAATAAAATTATTTAAAAAATTAAAAAAAAAACTGCAATACAATCCTTATTTAGTGTGCATTAGAACATGTTTATACACACTGCTTCAATATCGAGTTTAGGCTTGTTTTTCTAATTTGATATAATTTCTACTTTCCTGGCTGGTACCACTGCTAACTGCATCGTCACTTAAAGTTTGAAATGACTAATTTGTCATCGTGTCCTTATACATATCATGCGAAATTAACACTGTTATATGCATCGTATCTAGATATGCATTTTAAGATTTTTCAGTCTTTTTAGTTACTGCGATGCGACAATTTGACGTGCAGATTGAGATTACGCTTACGCAAAAATTTCTTGCCACATATATTACACGAATGATTGATACCATTGTGAAATCCTTCAATGTGGACTTTGAGGTCATCCTTTCGTGTGAATTTCTTTGCGCATACATCGCAAGAATGTCTAATACCACGATGCTTCGAATTTATGTGGATCTTGAGATTGCTCTTTTGTGAGAAATTCTTTTCGCAAATATCACATTTATGAGTTATTTTGTTGTGCACTGAATCGATGTGGATTTTGAGATAAAACTTATATGGGAACGTCTTTCCGCATACATCACATTTATGCCTGATTTTACTGTGTACTGAATCGATGTGAGTTTTGAGATTATCCTTTCTTCTGTATATCTTTCCACACTGATCACATTCATGAGTTCTTTTGTTGTGCACTGAATCGATATGGATTTTGATATTATCCTTTCGTGTAAATATCATTCCACATAGATCACATACATGGGTGACACCATTATGGATTGAATCAATGTGTTTTTTGAGATTGCCTTGATGAGCAAATGATTTTCCGCATACATCACATCCGTGGGTGATACCTTCATGAGCTGATGCGATGTGACGTTTAAGACTTATCTTATGTCTAAATGTATTTTTACACGTATGACAAGAAAAAATAACACATTTAGGCCTCGTATCAATGCTGGTTCTCAATTTCTTTTGGCTACGTAAATCACCTTGGTCATTTGTAACTAAGTTGTCAGCATTATCTTCAACAGATTCTTTCTTCACTTCTACCACACGTTCTTCTTTAACATCTTTTTTATTGGTCCAATCTCTGCTCATTTTCTGAAAATAATTTTCAGAACTATCTTCAATTTTCAGCCAAGAATTAAACTTGGGTTTCTCTTCCTGACATTCGAATTCAATTGACAAATCGTCTAGGTCAATTCTACGATTTTCGTCACATTTTTGAAGCTTGTGAGTCTGTCAGAAAATTTAAAGTTATGTAATAAAAATATCATGACGATAACAGCTTTATAAAATTATTAATTTTTACCGAATTCTCCTGCTTAATTGTAAAGGCCTCAAAGTTGTGGATAGTGGATGTCTTTTCAGTTACTTCGTGCCCATCATTAACTGTAAATGACTCGTCCACGGGCTCTTTTTTGATTCTGGAAAATATCCGATAAAATTAATTTTCATTTCTCAATATTTGTATGCTTTCATTTGTGTAATAGAAATCACCTCACAGCACCGTTGAATAAATCGTAGGATTCCATGTTATTCACTTAGAATTTCGGTTGTGACTGATATTTCATTTAGTAATACTCACTAACAGAACTCAATAATATTTACTAACTAAGATTTGAAATTTTAAATTGGTCAAGATAACATAATAGAACACAATTATTTTGTACTATTAAAGTAACTTATCGACGCACGAAAAGTATGTACATCTCTAAATACAGAAAATTCTATGCTCAAATAGCATGATTTAGTTTTTATACAGCTAGCTCAAGTTCTTGCGATATTGAAATCGATCATTCATAAATTTCAACCTAAGTTATAGTTTAATCTCGACGACCATTAATTTCTACCGCAGCTCTTTCAAATCACGTAATTCTCGTCGATTACAATTTTCCATAAAAAATAAAAATACATATAAATTCAAAAAGTCAAGTACTTAAGCTTCAACGTGACTCATTCGAGATTAATTTATTCTCGAAGAACGAATCGATGGGTATTATTACACTCGCAATGTCGCGAGGCATTGTCGGAGCGATAATCGAATCGGATCCATTCGAGACATGTACGAGGGATATCGTTTCGTCGCTGCCCTCGTCAAGTACACAAGCTCACAATAAATATATAAAAAAAGGGGCACGCAGAAGAAAAAGCATAATGCGTGCATATTATTATGCGTGCCAAACGTAGAAATGCAAGTGCGATAATCGCATTTTGTCCGATATCCGCAGGATATACACTCCTTTTCGTTCACTCGTAACTAGCATTAAAAAACAGAAAATAGAACTATGTACGTACAAGCGCCAAAGCTCTTTAGCTGCCTTTATAAGTATCGCTCATAGGCTAAAAATCTCTCTCTCTCTCGCTCGCATGCATTATAATAAAACGCCGCGATTTTCCCTAAACAACCCGTCGTGAGCAGGCGCGCTTCAATCGTGTGTGTATGTGTAGATGCCTGCCGAGCCATGCACTCCTCGACGAGCAGCAGTAGCAGCTCGTCTACTGTTACAGACTCGGCGACGGCCCGTTAAAGCCCCGACGCACGGAAACTCGACACTATTATACTTTGGTTCCTATTCTCTCGCTCTCTCTCTCTTACTCGATTCGGGCGCGCTCCGGGTTAGGCATCTGTATATATTCGTTTATATGCACACGTATCCTAGAGGCGACACGCGTACACTACGACGACGTCGACGAGAGCCAAACGATCAGTTTCAAAATGCTATACGCGTATAATAAGTATACGTACACGAGCATTGTGTGCGTTTGCGCGCATTATAATAATGATTTGTACTTGTATAATTTCGAAGCAGTAGTTCGAGTCGTGGACGCTCGTGTGAGCTCGACCTGCGCCACATGTATACGTGTATCACACATGTGTGCCTAGCACACGATTTAGGGCATTAAAGTACGCATATGAACGTATTACGTGAACCGAGTATGTACACGCGCGAAAAGGATGTTGTGTGTACAGACTTCATGCATGACATGTGCGAGGGAATATGAAATTCGCCCATGAATATTTTACATAATTGCCTATTTTACGGCTTATTGCATCCTTCCCCCTTCTGGAAAAACTCTCGACTTACATTATATAATTCTTCGATCAGAAATCGTACTTGAAAAATCTCGATATCTAACGTTTACTCTTAAATTTGCAGGAGGGGATCATCGATTAACGATGATTAAGGATCGGTAATGCGTGCACACTCACAACACAACGCCCACCCAGTTGGATATTTAATAATAAGGGCTTGCGAGCGCGCGCGCGCCCATAGGTCCATTAGCACTCTGCACAAGGGTAAAATAGCTGCTGCTGCTGCTGTTACAGCACCGAGTCGTAAAAACAAACCACCCACTAGTGGCGGTGGCGACCATACGACGACGACGACGTTGTGTGTGCAGGGCAATTTTCGGCTAGAGACGAGCAGCGATCTTAATCGAAAAGTCCTGTATAGCGGCGCGTTCGGGAGCCACTAAACGATTTATATGTCACCTACCGCCTATCTATCATACAGAGAGACAGAGAGAGCGACGCGAACCCCCCTATATACTATATACACTTCTTCGCTGTACAAAACGTATCGAACGGCTCGATAAAAAGACGACGAGGTTGCGGCGGCGGGACCTTTATTACATTTATATCATATAAACTCGAGAGGTCTATATCTATATTGTATGGCTAACGAGGCGTGCGCATGGGGTAATATTAAAGGTCACCCACCCGCGATCTACGCGCTCCGAAATTATTATATCCTTCGTTGCTACTGTCGAGGTAAAATCAGAAAAGTGTCCCGCAAAAAATAAAAAAAAAATAGCTACGTTCGTAACGCGAGATGATCGATCTTTGCCTACTTATATGTCCCCCACCGGACCAGTCGTCAATGCAAACACAAAAGCAGCTCCCAGTTGGCGAACGCGCCACTGATGAGCAGACGAGCTACATTTATAGGATGGACAGACGGGAGATGCAGCACAACATGTTAGGCTCTATATTGCTATACACCAGGACTCGTCCGACGAAGAAGCACATATTACAGTCGATCACGGGCGCACTTGCCATTATATTGCCTCGTGCACTATACGCGCACACTATTTATACAGTATAGTAGGAGAAAGAAAGAGACGTAATCTCTGATTTTGCGTGTTGCGGATGTGTGAAAAGACATTTGTACTCTCTCTCTCTCTCTGTACGTTTAAGCTGTAGGGGCGTCGCCGCTGCCTTCGATGTTAACTTCTGATTAAACGTCTCCTGAACATTTTCATTTTTCTTCCTGCGCCACGCGAGCAGTGACATAATTAACAATGCTTATATAGTAGCTGCTCTCTGCTCTGCCTTCGATCCATAGTATATAAAACTCTCCATTTCCAAGCAGCAATCAAAACGAGCTTCGCATTAATACATACACACACATATTACTACGAGAAGCAAAAAAAAACGAGATCTTATCCCCACAGTTCACGGCGTGAACCCTTTTCAGGTTTCCTAAAGCAGCTTTTGGGCTCATCGAACGATCTCTTGATGCACTGCCATCATATATACTTACTCGAGCTGAGTCGTCGCATCTGTCGTCGTATATATAATGGCGCGTGCTCGCTCGACTGTACCCCCCACTCGCACACAAGTACATGAACGTAAAGAAAGATCAGATTGGCTATTTACAAGTTAATCGATGATAAATGCCGTCAGATAGGCGCGAGAGATAGATAAATAGAGACATGTGCGCGCGGCCGGGGAGGCTTAGCCGAGCGCAAAATACCCAATAGGCGCACGCACGTAGAGTCTCTATATTATACTTGCGGTGTTTCGAATCGATGATGTCGATGATGTATGCCGCTCGAATTAACTCGATTGAAATAATAAATTTTATTCAACATTCATTAACGATGCAGGTATCGAAACGAGAAAACGAAAATAAAAATTATTTTCAACCCGAAAGAAAAACTAGATTATCATTGTTATTATTATTATTATTATTATCCATATACATTATTTATGTATAAATACGTGTCTCGTGTATACTACGCACCGTTGAGGGAGAAAAAATTGACGTATATCTACGCGGGTACTTCTTTTGTCCTCGTACGCCACTCCCGCTGCCGCTGGAATGAAAAAAATGTAAACAAGATTCCACGCTCGCGCGAGTGCATGAAAACAACGAAAAAAGGTATATCTATACCTACGGTATATATTTATACGAAGCATCGGCAAGAAAAAAAACTCGCGTCGCGCGTATAGATACGTGTATACTCGCAGGTGTGTCTATACACCATGCACCGATGCATCGACCGCACATGCTATATAAGGTAAAAAAAAGCTCGCGACGACTCGCTGGGCGGGTGGAGAAAAAATCGAAAGCTCGCGAAAGAGCGAGAGAGAGAGAGAGCTGCGCTGCACACAGCCCCCGGACTCAGAGTCACAGTCGATAAAGCCATTAGCATTTAGACGAGCTGTCGCGCGTGACTATCTCTCTCTCTCACTCTCAACGGCGCGCACACAACGGCTCGAAGCTCACCGGGCTTGTTATACGACCTGACTCTCTTTTCTTCTCTCTCGCTAGCTGCTGCGCTTGCTCGTTCGTTCGTTCGCGTCGCTTCGGCTGTGTAATAGCTTGCCGTTACGTGCGCCCCGCACGATTCTTTTTCTTTGTGGAGTTTTTATTTATTTATTTATTTATTTTTTTTTTTTAGTTTTGAATTCAACAAGATATCCGCAATGACTTCTTTGCGCTCTTTTGTATTTGATGGAGCCTCGATCTGTGGCTTCTTTACAAATTTGTACACGTAACATCGGAGATTTTTCGAACGAATCATATTTACCCTTTGCGGCTATTAATTAAAATTATTCCGGCAGATATTGTAAATTGATATAAAACAAAAGCTCCGAAATACGTGCGCGCTCGCACGCGGGAATTCGAGAATACGCCCGCGTCGTTACACAAAATATTCATCGCCGTGAAAATACGCGTTGATTTATTTATAATAATATTGCCGTACACGCGTGCCGAGTTGCTTTGCGTGTTCTGGAATCCTTAAAATTCGAGCGAGCGTTAATTTTTCACCTCGATTCGGGCGCGCGGAAAATCGAAACGTGTATGTATACCAGTGACATTATATCACTCGATACAAATGGAAATTATTAAATAATCGTGATAATTTATACTTGTATACCGACGAACGATGATGATGATTAAAAAAAAAAAAAAAAAAAAAAATAAAAGATTTTTCGTATTTATAGTCAATTTAACTGTTTTATACAGCGCTGATCAACTCTGTAAATATACGCGCGAGAGCTTGCGCTCAAGCTCACTCGATCCGCATTTTTATTTATTATTTTCCAATGACTCACCTCCTCCTCTTTCGATCCTTTATAATATACACACGTACACAAGCTCGCAACAATTTTTTTCGTTCCTTTCTCCGCTCCCATTTTCCATTCCATCTCGACCAACTTTTTTTATTTTCAGCAGCGGGTATCTGGCAGAAAAAAAAAGAAAACGAGGAAAAAATTCATATTTTTATCTCACGCCCTTTCGCGCGCG